CTGGGAGTGCTGTGTGCTGGGAGTGCTGTGTGCTGGGAGTGCTGTGTGCTGGGAGTGCTGTGTGCTGTGTGCTGGGAGTGCTGTGTGCTGGGAGTACTGTGTGCTGAGTACTGTGTGCTGGGAGTACTGTGTGCTGTGTGCTGTGTAGTGCACAGTATGTTGTGTGTACCGTGTACCATATATGCTCTGTGTGCCCCATGTGTCCACACCATCTTGTGTTGCACACGTTGCAGTGACTCATGTCTTGGATGCCCTGTACCACAGGGGCGGGCAGAATGGGTGGTCCTGGGGCATCTGGGAGAAGTGTCTGGCGCACGAGGAGCCAGCGGTGGACAGCAGGTGGGACCCTCAGCCCCAAGGTCAGAGCCAGGCTCAGGCAGGGGTGTTGTGCATGAGCGAAGTGTGCCACCTTAACAGGAGCAAGTGGGCGGATACTGGCCTGTGTCAGCTGCTCTCCTGGCAGGGGTCCAGGCTCCCTGCTGTGCCCTCCAGCAAGCAGAGTGAGCACGATGGTGGCATCCTTCAGGGTCCTGTCAGCGGGGAGACACCCTGGGCAGGACAAAGAAACTGGGACCCCAGGAAAGCCCAGGGGACGGCGCAGGTGGGGGACATCAGAACAGCAATGACCCTGGCAGCCGTGACCCTGGCAGCCATGACAGCGCCTGCTCTGCCGCAGGGTTCAGCGTGGACTGGTGGGCGCTGGGCGTCCTCATGTTTGAGATGATGGCCGGCCGTTCTCCCTTCGACATCATCACGGACAACCCTGACATGAACACGGAGGACTACCTGTTCCAAGGTGTGGCCCTCTCCGCACTACTTGCGGCTGTGCGCTGGCCAGGAGCCCTCCTTCTGCCCTGTCCCACTCGACCCAGGATCCTCTGAGCCGCTGGTGCGGGCCTGTGGGAGCGCTCCTTGCAGGCACCTGGCAGCCCAGGAGGCCTGCCGGGGTGTGGGCACGGCCGAGGGCAGCCCAGGAGGCCTGCCGGGGTGTGGGCACGGCCGAGGGCAGCCCAGGAGGCCTGCCGGGGTGTGGGCACGGCCGAGGGCAGCCCAGGAGGCCTGCCGGGGTGTGGGCACGGCCGAGGGCTCCCTGGGCAGCAGCTCACACCCCCCTCCTTGCAGTCATCCTGGAAAAGCCTATCCGGATCCCCCGCTTCCTGTCTGTCAAGGCCTCCCACGTCCTGAAAGGATTTTTAAATAAGGTGGGCTCTGCCTCCCGGGTGGGCCGGGCTGGGGGGCAGCTGGGCCGCTGTGTGGGGCTGTGGGTTTGCGAACCCGAGTCCATGTTGCTGCTGCTTGGACTAGAACTAGATGGGGCAGGGAGAGGCAGTGCGTGAGGGGTGGCGCTGGGCACGCGGGGCTCACCATCCCGTGGGGAAGTAGGCCTGCTCGTCCTCTGACCTCTAATCCCCAGGACCCCAAAGAGAGGCTCGGGTGCCGGCCACAGACGGGCTTCTCTGACATCAAGTCTCACGCCTTTTTCCGCAGTGTGGACTGGGACCTGGTAAGGCTGTGCAGCAGTGGGATGGGAAGGGAGCTGCCCAGGCCCCCCAGCTGGCATCCCAGTCCCGGGGCACAGGGCACACTGGGTCAGACCCCACCTGGGGCCGGCCTAGGGCGGCGCCCGGCTGCCCCCCCACACACTGCGCCACAGCCTCTGGCAGTGCAATGCCTGACGGGGCAAGGCCTGTTTGTCCAGCCAGCGGCTGGCTGGCGAGGCCGAGGTGCAGCCGTCACAGGCCCAGAGGAAGCGAATGTTCGTAGGAACAACGGCTTTGAAAGATCTTCCATCTGCTGGTTCACTCCCCGGACAGCCATGGTGGCCGGGCCGGAGCCAGGAGCTTCTGCCAGGTCTCCCACGCGGTGCGTTCAGGCCAGCTTCCACTGCTCTCCGTTAGGGAGTTGGAACAAAGTGGAGCAGTCTGTGCCCACGAGGGACGTCGGCCCTGCTGGCAGTGGCTTCAAGAGTCACGTGGTTCCCCCACGACTCACAGGTCGCGCGGCCATCACCACAGCCCATCATCACCAGCGCCCCCCACCCAGCCCTAGGAAACATCACCCCACCCCTGCTGGGATCCCTGAGGGCCGACCCCTCCAGGGTGTGTCAGCCCTCCCATGCCTGCTGGTCCACGCTGGGGTGCGGCTACCTGTTGGCTCGCCTGCAAGTTCCCATCCTCCCTCCAGGGGGCGGCCTGGCTGTTGCCCCTGCAGCAGGTGCCCCCCCAGGCCCCCTTTGGGGAATCGGAGCCTCAGGAAGACCAGGCCAGGGTACTGTCTACACCTGCAGCCACCCTGGCTGCCCAGGGCCAGCCGCCCACCCTGGGCCTTGGGCGGCACTTCATGGAGCAAAGACATTGCTGGGTCACTTCATCCGTGTGGAGCTAGCGCGGTCAGTTCCTCGTGGGGCTGGACGTGAAAATGGGCTCCCATTTCTGCTGGGGTCTCAGCCCTGAGCGGGCACTGGTCTCCAGGCCATCGGCCGTGCCGCCCTCCGCAGGCGCTGGCTCCCAACCCTTCACCCTGCTTCTCCGGGCTCATACTTGGAGTGCCGGAACGATGGACCAGGGGCAGCTCTGGCTGCTCTTGAGGCTGGGGGACCCTGAAAAGCACACTGGTGCCTGTGTACGGGAGCCCCTGTGGCCTGAGGAGCGGTGACTGAGCCACCACCCGGCCCCGAGGCCACGCCACCCCCACGTGGGCCCTAAGGCAGATTGATACAGACAGATCTCCCACGCAGTAGTTCACTGACCGAGTGGCTGCCACAGCCGGAGCTGAGCTGATGCAAAGCGAGCTTCACGCGGGTGCAGGTCCCAAGGCTTTGGACCGTCCTCTGCTGCTTCGCCAGGCCACAGGCATGATGGGAAGTGGAGCAGCTGGGGCACAACCGGTGCCCATATGGGATGCCACCTCCTGAAAGTGCAGGATCAGCCAGTTGGGCCATCGCACCAGCCCTGCCCCCCTCCCAATTTTCCATCTTAAGGAAGTGATGCCTGCCACTCGCAGGGCCCAGCAGGGCCTGGGTTTGACCTGTTCTGTGCCAGGAGTGGGCAGCGTGTGGACTGACCCCGTCTTTGCCTCGGCAGCTGGAGAAGAAGCAGGCCCTGCCGCCGTTCCAGCCGCAGATCACGGACGACTACGGCCTGGACAACTTTGACACGCAGTTCACCAGCGAGCCCGTGCAGCTGACCCCCGACGACGAGTGAGTCACCTCGGCAGTGGGCAGGGGGCGGTGGGCAGGGGCGTGGCTTGGCAGCCATCTGTCCCCTCCTTCCTTGCAGGGATACCATCAAGAGGATCGACCAGTCCGAGTTCGAAGGCTTCGAGTACATCAACCCACTGCTGCTCTCGGCCGAGGAGTCCGTGTGAAGCTCAGACAGCCGCGTGCACACGCCTGGGGATGACCTGACCTCCCTCCCAACCACAGCACTGCATGCCAGGCTGGGCACGAACATCGGCCCGCCAGGGCAGGGCAGCTGGCATCAGGCCGAGGGGCGCGGCAAGGCCCCCGGCAGGCGGTGTAGACAGGACTCGGCGCAAGGCCGCGCTGCCGCCGCCCGTGTGTCATGTCCCGAGGAATAAAACGTGCCGATGACATGGACGCGCCCTCCGCCTTTTTCCCACGTGTGGCGCCTGGCCAGCTGGGGATGGGCTGCTGCCGCCAGGCCACAATAACCTCCCCTGTGCTGTGGCGGTAGCAGCTGCGCAGGACTGTCGTGGGGGAGTCAGGGCAGATTCCCCCCCACACGGGCCACTGCGTCCACACAGAAGGGCGGCAGCCTGCAGTCCTGGGTTCCAGCCAGGGGGGTGGGCGCGCTGAGACCCGCCTGGCCGACCCCTTAGCCGCCGCGCTGGGCCCCCTCCACAGCCTTGCCCAAGGGCCCCAAGGGCCGTGTCTCGGGGTTGGGGCTGAGAGGGGCATGGCTCAAGCCCCACCCCAGGCTGTGTGGTGGGCAGGCCCCCAGCCGTGCGTGGCCAGAGCCATGCCTTGGGGAGGGCAGGGGCTGTGCCAGCCCTGAACCCTCCACTTCCTCAGGTCTGCGGCTGCCCAGTGGTCACAGGACACAGCCAGGTGCTGCGTGGGCAGGTGGAAGCCCCTGGGACCCAGACGGCTGGGCTCGCCGACCACAGCAGGGCTCATTTGCAACCAGCAACCCCCATTTCCACCCAAGTCAGCGAAGGCGACCTTGATCGGGGCGCCCTGGGTTGCAGCCCAGCTTGGGGGACAGTGCCACGCTCTAGGCCTGACCTGGGTGACAGTGGTGGCAACTCCCCTCCAAGGTGGGGCACGTGCCAAGTGCCTTGTGGGGAAGGACAGCGCAGCTCTGGGCTTGCGTGTTGGCCACTGGGCAGTCCACCCACGCCCACCCTGTTCCTGCACATCCATTAAAGACTTCCCAAACACGGGTCTGCGCCTTCACCAGAGGCTCTTGCAGAGAAATGCTGTTATTTATTCCAAAGACAGGGAGGGGCAGGGGACTGGAGCACGAGTGTCCAGCTGTGTCCACGGCCCGAGTGGCCGCATCCGCAGAGCCTGGGCTCACGGGAGGGACAAGGCCCCACAGGTGCCCTGGAGCCACGGCCTGCCAGGTCCTCCAGCGTCCACTCGGCACTGGGCAGTCCTGGGCATATGCCAGGCACGTCCCACATGCAGTCCCATCCCCTGCTGCTTCATTTGAGGCCCAGGAACTGGACACGCCCAGCCCGCCGGCCCCAGCTGCAGCAGGCACGAGGGGTGGGAGCCTGCAGAGGCCACCTGTCACTCCCCCAAACCATGTTTTTTCACATCCCTTCCCCCACGTGAGCTTCCTCCTGGAGATGCCACAGGGCCCCTTGGCATGCAAACCCGGCCAGGCTCAGCCATGCGGTAGGCGCCACAGCCCCAAGGCCAGCCCTCCCTGCGACAGGCCAGAGCCCCTCTGGCTCTGCCCACGGGCAAGCAGGCCAGCACAGTCCAGCCACTGCCCCGGATGGCTACTGGCACTGGGGGATCCTTGTGGGGTCCCTCCGGGGAGCCCCTCCTGCGCCTTGGTGGGACACGGGCGGGCCGGACACCGCCCCACCCAGACGCACAGGCAGAAGGGGCTGGGTGCCTGCGGTCACCAAAGCACGTCCTCCGTGCTCTCTGCCAGGCACTGCGCCAGGTGGCTGTCGATGTCCAGCTGCACCAGCCTGCAAGAGACGGCGGTCATGCCACCCTGTTCAGCCCCAGCCCCGTCCTGTGCTTCCCACCCCATGGCCAATCCCGCTTCCAGAAAAGCATGACCTGACTGTTTCTTCAGCTGAAAGGCAGAGTTAGAGAGATCTTCCATCTACCAGCTTACTGCCCAAATGGCCACCAAGAGCAGGGATGCACGAGACGCAATCCGAGGACCAGGAGCCTCTTCCAGGTCTCTCACGTGGGTGCAGGGTCCCAAGGACCTGGACCGTCCTCGGCTGCTTTCCCAGGCCGGAACAGGATTTGCAATGTGCCATTTTCTCTAGAGGCGCCCCAGCATAGCTGCACCCCAACAGGGGCACCATGGCCCGCAGGAGGGTCCTGGTGGGGCTGGCCTCCAGGCGGTGAACCACGAGCTGGTAGAGCTCCCTGTCCGCCCACCGCCCCCCCCCGTCACTGTGCCAGGCAGAGGTAGACCCGCTGCCCACAGGGCTGCAGCTCCCGGGGGACCCTCCCAGGCTGGGGCGGACACACAGGTGGCACCCCTGGGTGCAGCTCCTGGCCGGTGGAGCCGCGGCGGTCACCAGGCCCGGCCGCGCTGGACACCTAGGTCACGCACACCTGCACGCTCACCTCCAGCTCCCTCCTCGGGCACGTCCCAGGCCGGGGGTCCCCGCCACCCCCTCGGGGGACACAGGTGGACACTCATGGATACTCACTCGGGGCCGAACTCCTGCTGGCACATGGGGCAGTTCCGCAGGGCCGGCGCCCCCGGCGGCGTGCTCGGGCTCTCGGGCCGCGGGGACCGGGTGGGGGTCCCCAGGCGCTCCCCTGCGCCCGGGCGCCCCGCGGCCTGCGGAAAGGGCGGCCAGGAAAAGGTCTGGGGTCCGACGGAGAAGACCTCGAGGGGCGCCGCGGGCTCCGGGCCCGGCTCCTGCAACACACGGAGGGGGGCGTCGCGCCGCGTCCGGCCCAGGGCGCCCCCCAGGGTGGCGGCGGGCTCACCTGGCCGGGGAAGGCGGGCAGAGGCGGCACCTCGCCGTCCACGTGCAGCTCGGCGCCCGCCGTCCGCAGCAGCTCCGTCCACGGCGAGTCCTCGCTGCCCGCCGGGGGCGCGGGGCGGCCAGGGGGCGGGGCGGGGGGCCTGGGGGCGGGGCGGGCGACGTCCGCGGGGCGGGGCGGCCAGGGGCGGGGCGAGGCCCTGGGGGCGGCGAGAGGGTGACGTCAGCTGGGCGGGGGCGGCAGGGGCGGGACGAAGCCCTGGGGGCGGGTGACGTCAGCGGGGCGGGGCGGCCAGGGGCGGGGACCTGAGGTAGGGGGCGACGTCACGGGGCGGGGCCTTGGGGGTGGGGCGGGGCGAGACGCCGTCAGAGGGGGCGGGACGGCCAGGAGGCGCGACGGGCGACGTCAGATGGGAAGGCGGGGCCGGGAGAGGGCGGGCGACGATGGGGAGCGTGGCTAGTGGCGTCGCGGGGCGGGGCGGAGACGTCAGCAGGGGCGGGGCGTGGCTGGAGGCGTCGCGGGGCGGGGCGGGACGGGCAAAGGGGCGGCGCCGCGCGAGGTGGCCAGGCGGAAAGGGCCCGGGGTGACCCGGGGGCACGTGGACGGCCGGGACCCCGCCGTGTCCTCCTCCTGCCGCGGCTCCAACGTCCGACTCACCCGTCCTCCGAGGGCGGCCTCCGGCGGCTCAGCCTCAACCGCGGCCTCTTCGCAGCCTCCATGGGCGGAAGAGCGGGCTCGGCGGAAACGACGCACGGAACACGGGGCCACGCCCGGCTGGGGCCTCAGCCCCGCCCCGGCTGGAAGCCCCTGCACCGGGAGGGGGCCGACCAGCAGAACCCCCTACACCAAAACCCCCTGCACCAGAACCCTCAGCCCTGGAAAGGGGCGGACCCCCAGAACCCCCTGCCCCAAGAGCGGGCTGGCCCCCCAGACCCTCCTGCATCAGAACCCCTGCCCCAGGAGCGGGCCGACCACCAGAACCCCCTGACCAGAACCCCCTGCCCCGGGGGCAGACCCACCCCCCAAAAACCCCTGCACCAGAACCCTCAGCCCTGGAAAGGGGCCGACCACCAGAAACCCCTGCCCTGGGAGGGGGCCGACCCCCAGAACCCCCTGCCCCAAGAGCGGGCTGGCCCCCAGACCCTCTTGCATCAGAACCCCCTGCCCCGGGAGCGGGCCGACCACCAGAACCCCCTGACCAGAACCCCCTGCCCCGGGGGCAGACCCACCCCCCAAAAACCCCTGCACCAGAACCCCCTGCCCTGGGAGCAGGCCAGCCCCCCAGAACACTCTACACCAGAGTCCCCTGCCCCGGGGGGCGAGCCAACCACCAGAACCCCCTGCCCTGGGAGCAGGCCGGCCCCCAGAACCCTCTACACCAAAACCCCCTGCACCAGAACCCTCAGCCCTGGAAAGGGGCTGACCACCAGAACCACCAGAACCCTCTGCCCCAGGAGCGGGCCGACCACCAGAACCCACTGACCAGAACCCCCTGCCCTGGGAGCAGGCCGGCCCCCCAGAACCCTCTACACCAGAACCCCTGCCCTGGGAGCGCGCCAGCACCCCCACAGAACCCCCATGCACAAGAACCGGGCCGCCCACTGGGTCCACCACAGACATTGGTCCACCCGCCCCACCTGCACCTCAGGCGGATCCCTGCCGAGCCCAGCAGGCCACTTCCGCCCTCCCCGGGAGCCCCCCAAGAGCCCGGCTCTGGTGCAGGGGTGTTCTGGCTGAGGCCGCCTGGCCAGCCCCGGGTGAACCCTGCGTCCTGCTGTTTTTCCTGGCGTGCCACCAGGCCACCTCAAAGGCCGCCACAGGGTGGCAGCACAGGCCCAGGTACCCTGGCAGGGCCTGGCTCCTTGCAGCCGGTGGGCAAGGCAAGCCCTGCAGTACTCTGTGCCCACCCCGTCTCCGTGTGACCTGCCTGCCAGGCCTGGCTCCTTGCACACTGTGGCTTCCCCTCCCAGGGCCACGCCGTCCTTTGCTCCCTGCTGACCTGTGCTAAGCCAGACCTCGGCAGGGCCCATGCTGTTGCACATGAGCGAGTCAACACTTGGGCCTGCAGGCAGAGGGACTTCACGGGACCCTGGAGAAAGTGACCAGCGGTCAGGACGCTCTCAGATGAGGGAATCCCCAGGGATGCCTGTTGCAGGTGGTGACCCACAGGCTGCTGCCAACCTCTGCCCTGTGCCCTGCTGGACCCCACTGGCCCTAACCTGCTTCCCAGCTCCAGGTCTTTCCTGGAGGTACCAGGCCTCGGGGGCTTTTGGGGGTGGGGGGGTGTTGGGATTCAGCTCTCAGGTCCTCACCCCTTCTCCCTTCGCTCCAACCAAGGTCCCACTGGTGGACCCAGAGGGCAGCCCTGCCTACCTCCTTGTCTCTATGGTCAAGTCCGCGGGGTGCAGGGCCAACCTCTTCCACTGAGCCCACCCTGGACCCTTCTCTGGCCCTGTGCGAGGTCCCCAGGGCAAAGAGATGTGCCACAGGATCACACAGGACAGAGGACCATGTGGGCAGCTGCTGTCGTCAACCCTGGCTTTCCATGCGGGACAACCCAGAAGGGCCCCACCCCAGCATCCGGACACCAGAGCCGATCTGACACTTGCAGCGCCTGGTCCTTGTCCCTCCCTGGACCGCTGTGCGCATCCTGCTCCAGCTTCCTCCAGCAGGCAGAGCCACAGGCGCTGAGGGGGCTCCCTCCTCTGCCTTCCCCTCCCCCCCCGGGGCCCCATTTGCGGATTGAGAAAGACATACAGAAGTTCCATCAGCCACCTCACAGCCAGGACCGAGCCAGCCCAGCCGGGCCTCCCATCCGGGTCCAGGGGCCAAGGGCGTGACCCATCTCATGGCTTTGCCAGGCTGCAAGCAAGGAGCTGGCTGGGCACGAGTCAGGGCCTCTGTGGGGTCCCAGCACTTGAAGAGGAGGATCAGCTAACTAGTTGAGCCCCATTAAGTTCAGCTTTCAAACTTCTACCGCCACCGCCTTGTCCTGCTGGTACCCGGGCCGGACGGTGGCGGTGGGAGATGCCTGGTGTCCCCACTCCCCAGGGCACCTCATGCAGGCCCAGATGGGCACGTGGTTTCTGGAAACCCTCCACAGAAGGGAGTGGCAAGGGAAGCAGTGGGGAAAAGCAGAGGTGCCCCCAGGAGGGCCAGCCCAAGGTGCTCTGGTGCCCAGATGGCACAGACCCTCCTCAGAGAGCCAGCATCGTGAGGGGCACTGTACCCCCAGCCCAGAGACACATTTCCTGCGTTGGAAATTTGGCTTGCTTGGAGCTTAATCTCTAGTTGGGCAGACACGCTGCAGAGACGAGCAACATTCCAACTACAACACGGCGCTGCAGGGCCGGCCCTGGGACCACCAGCTCGTCCTCCTGCGTCGCCAGCATGCCCTGTGGACGATGGCAGGGAAGCTGACTTCTCCGGGGTCCCAGATCAGCTTGGCAAGACCCCAGGGTGCCTAGTGCTGCCCAACCAAATCCACTAGGGGCTCAGGAGGTGGTGGGCATCCTGCAGGCCACTGGACGAACACTGTCGGGACGCAGGCAGTGAGCGGGCTGGGTGGGGGGCCATAGTGCAGGACCTGAGGCAGGCAGGCACTGGGTCACCTCCTGCACCACATGTCCCCCACAGTGCCAGCACTGGCACACTGGCCCCAGCCAGGGGCCTGAGTTGGCCACCTCCTGACACCTGCTGGCTGTGCTGTGCCAGTGCTGGAGCCGGGCATGGCGGTGTTCATGGGGTACATGAGTGCCAGGCAGACAGGCTGTGTGTGTTGTTGCCTGGGGAACACTGCAGTACAGCAGGAGTGTGGGCCCCCGCCTGGGCCGTGGACTGAGGGCATGCCACGTGGCCCGGATGTCATGGCCTCCTCACGGCCACTCCTGCATGCAGTGGGACCCTGCTCCCGGTCCCCTGGTTCAAGTCTCTCTCTCTGCCCGAGCCGTGCTGGGGGTACCTCCCCAGGCCCTCCGGAGTGACAGCTTGAGTTCGGACTTGGAGCGCCTACTCCTCCTTCCCCAAAACCTCCCGAGGCCTTTCCAGGCTGTGTCCCACACTGTCAGCTTGAAATGGACCCTGGACAGGGGGCTGTGTCTCAGGCCTGCCCTGTGACCTGTCCCTTGCTTCACAGAAGGACAGCGACAGACGGCTATGCAGGACCTTCCCCCAGGCCCTCCCAGGGGGTGAGGGGAAGCAGGGGACAGTCAGAGATGCACCAGGGTACTGACCTGGCTGCCGGGCCGCCCCCTCCACCGGGACGCGGGCCTGGCTGCCGGGCCGCCCCCTCCAGCCAGTGTCCTACAGAGGCCTGGGGCGTCTGTTCTCTTCAGAGGCCACAGATGGAGAGCTGTGGCAGGTTGCAACTTGGGCCCCTTGCTGTTGCTGCAGGAGCGAAGGGCTGGGCTGGGCTGGGAGTTGAGCACCCACGGTGTGAGCATGGGCGCAGTGGCTTCAGCCTGGGAGACCTGGCCTGAGGCGGGCAGCGAAAGGAGCACCCCACTGCGCACAGGCCACTTCCCCTGCCATGCCCTGCTGCCTGACCCCCAGCTTGGCCACTGCCCAGTAGACCACACCCACTGCAGCCACACGGGCTGGTGCCCAAAGACTCTTGCCCAGCCAACACCCTGAGCCCACGTCGGATCTGCCCTCCGTCTGTGGGTGTCTGTGGGCCTGGCACGTCCTCGAAGGCTCTGGTCAAGCCGACTTGTGGGAGACTGCCCTCGGCCTGTTCTGTCCACTCCCCCGGAGCGCCCTGGCATCTTGTGCGGTGGCCTGGCGAGCCTATGGACAGGCCACTGGAGTCATGCACAAAGTGTGGCCGGCTGCCACGGCCGCCAGCAGCCTGCCAGGGGCCGCCCACCGCCGTGCCCGGGAGAGCTGGCAGGCACGGGGCAGCCTGACAGCCCAGGTGACCGCGGAAACGCCGCTGGGCTGACGGCCCGGTCACCCGCCGGCGCGGCCTTCTGCTCTCCGCTTTCCCGCGCTGGCCGCGCCCGCCGCCTGCCCCCCGCCCGCGGGTCTTTGTCCATCTGCCGCCCTCCCGGCCGCGCCCTCCGGCTCTTCCCACACCCACGCCCGCGCCCCGCCCCGGGCCCGCCCGCTAACGGCCTCCGGGCCTCGGTCCAGCGGGGTCCGCGCTCGCCGGGAGCGCCCCGGGCGGCCGCCGAAAGCCCGCGCAGGCCGGGCCGGTGCGCCCCACGCGCGTCCCCAGGGCCTCGCGCGCAGCCCTTTGTTCGCGCCGGGCCTGCTGCGAGGCCGCGTGCGTGGGGCGCCCCCGCCCCAGGCTGTGCTCCGTGGGGCCCCAGCGCGCCCAGACCCGCCTGCTCCCCGCGAGGGTCGGGACGCGGCCTCGGGCCCTCCGCAGCCCGACCTGCCAGCCTGCCAGCCGGCGTGGCCGGGGCCGGGCCGGGTCCTGCCCTCTGGGTGCCCCACTCGCTGACCCTGCAGTGGGCCATGTCCTTGAAGGAGGAAGACGAGCCCGAGGACCCTGCGCGGGCGGGGTGCGGGCGGCACAGCCGGGCCAGGGAGACCTCCCCATGCTGCGTGGAGCGGAGGGGCCCCCAAAGGCTCATGCTGGACGCTCCTGACCCCCTACCCGGGCTGGGACGTCCCAACTTGCCAGGAGGGACTCGGTGGAGGGCGGGCCGCGGCGGGACACAGGACAGGGGAGGGGACGGGGTCCCGGGAGTGACTCGGGGAGTCCTTCCTCCCCTGG